AGCCCGGAGCCTGCGCCCCGCGCCCGACCCCGACCCAACCGACACTGCCCTATCGGCCCGGCAGCCAAAATGCCTGCCGAAAGTGGATTCGCCTGCCCCCTGCCGAACCACAGACAAGACTCGGGAGACCCCTCCTCACCAAGCCCGCGACTCCAGGGTCGGGAGCCGAGAGTTGGTCGGAAAGGTGCAGAGGGAGGGGACGTCCCGGTGGCACTGCAAGTGCGCGTGCGCATACACCCCGCACCCGCGGCCTCCCGGACTGGCCGTACAGCGCGCCCTCAGGTTTACGTCCGTTCGCGGCATGAGCCACGGGGCGGGGACTCAGAGCCGGCCTTGGATTGGACGGAGAGAAGGGACGGGGAGAGGAAGAGGCCGGTGATTGGGCGAGGACCACTAGTCCCTGAATTTGAAGCTACGAAGCCGCGCGCCGCAGGTCCGGAGGAGGGGCGGAGTACCGCGAGGGGCTCGCCGCCCCGCTAAAGTCCTTCACGCTATAGGTGAAGCGCAAGCAAGGCGCAGTAAGCCTTGGCAAACTTGGAAAGAAAGCTTACCGTATGGAGTCTGGGACCCCAAGACACCATCACTCAAAGCATATTTCTGGTGAACAAATTATCTCATACTACCCTGAGTTCAGTACTGTTGTCACTTTTTGTCTTTACAAGATCAGCTGCAGATCTTTTTTTTCAAATCACTGCTTAGCAGATGCTTAAATGTGTCGTGATTTGCCTTATGTTATACACTGCAATGAAACTGCAATACGAAATCATTTCTCAGGATTTAAGCTTCATGATAGTTCGCTACACCTAATCGCCTCTTTGTGACGGAGTAAGGATGGTGTGGGGTGAAAAGAGCTGAGATAGAATTCTTCCCTAATTACTTACCACGTTTTCCTGTTCTCCTTAAGGCCACAAATACCACCACTGACATCTGCTTAGCCCAATGCTTTAACTACTACTTTACTGAACCCATAGAAGTAACTCCCATTTCACGCCCTTCACTTTCCTTTACCTCAAAATTTCTTCCATAGTCTGAGAGTCCTTCTTTTCCAACGCTAACTCTTTAACTTCATTCATGCAACAGTTATTGAATGTTTAAGATGCACCGGTACACTTGGGAGTAGACCAAATGAAAAACACAAAGTTGAGTTTAACAGTCCTTACTCCTAATTTAACCCGTTGGGGAATGATAGTTTATCACTTTCTTTTTCTACATCCTCTAAAATACTGCTCAACTAACATTCCCGGATACCTTCTCTACTGGTTCCTTTCTGCCTTTGGAAATGCTGCCTCTCTCCACCCAAAACCAAAACCAACTCACCGTTGCTGGATTCTGTCCTATCACCTTAAGACCATTCTCTCTCTCCTACCCTTAAACTGCCTCCACTTTCACACCTTAATGCCATTTATCCCATGATACCTGGTTTTGTCCTGAGTACTATTTTAACACTCAACTTTATCAGGACTAGCCTCCCAAACTTAGTTGATGTCTCTGCAATTCTCATGGCATTTTTCTTGAAACCTTCAAGCCTTGGCATTTGCAAACTACCCCTTATTCTACCCTTGTCCACACTCAATGAACAAAGTGAAGAAAATCTCAAGATTTTCTGAATCCTGAAAAATAAACCTATTAGCCTTAGAGCTGAAAGGCTGCCGCTTGAGTGTAATGAGCAATCCTTGTTTCACAAAGTGTCCGATCTATCTAGATCACATAACCAGAGGTGAACTGCTGGTATGTGTCTATTCATTCACCCTGTAGCCCTTGTACCCAACTCAATAAATGTCCTTCTCCTCCATTAAAAACAAGTGACCAAAGCTCTCCCAACACCCAGCAACCTAGTGGAACTCTAGCAACAAGGATCTATAATCCAAAGTATCGGCAAGCCAGAGAGAGAGCAGAGACTAATGCCAGACAGCCTAGATCTCAATCCTCAGCCTAGATCTCACTTCCTAGCTGTGCAGCCTTAGGCAAATACCTCTAATCTGCCAATTTCCTCAACTGTAAAATGGGGAGAATTATTAGGCATTTGCCTCAGGTTTGTTTTAAGGATTAGTTAATTCACATTAAGTATCTAGAAGAGCACTGGCGCATGGAAGTACTCAAAAAATATTAGCTGTTTTACCAACTTACCAACTGAAAAGGAGTCATAAAACTCCCAGTGAATTTCAAATCTCCTTAGACATTGGTTAAAGCTTGCAGAAGTCCCAGGGCTAGGGATGGATGCCTCCCAGGGTATTAGAAGTGGTATCTACCCAGGTAAGAAAAGGCAGTCATCTCCCATAGTTCCCCTTTACCAAATGCTTTAAGTGGCAAACCTCAGCCACAGATATCCAAAGCCACCTACAATGTGACCACAACGTCTGATTCTCAATCTCCCACCAGCTCCCCAAATGAACCTTACATCAGACCAATACATCCTGTTGCCCAAACACACTCCTGTCCTCTTTTACCTCTGGGCCATCATCTTGGAAATCCTACCCTCCTCTACTTCAACTACTTCATCTGTTGAAATCCCACTTTACTTCCAAACCTGGCCACCAGCTCAAATAAATCACTTTGTTTCAACCTATATAATGAAACTGAATCCTCATTACCTTCTGGAAATTCTGTGAATGCCTCCTCTATTTTTTACATACCCCAGTGTGTTTATAGCACAGTATTTTGCACTCAAAAGATGCTCAATATTCACTAAATTGGAGAATCTGCCTCATTCCATTTATCCCATTCTAACCCTGACACCTTTATAATGATTGAAATCTCAAAGGTGTCAATTATTAATTCTGAGCTAGAGTCAGCCTTAAGTGAGACCCCCTTGCTTTGAACCTAAACAAGCCAACAAGTCTAAAACAAGCCCTTTAACAGAAGGAAGACTTCTGAGATTTGGAAAAGATTTTTCTTCATACGCTGAAATGCTAAAATGCTAACTTTACAGACAAAGCATTTTAATGATTAATCACAAGAAAATTCAAATGTCCCTTAAGTTAAAATTAATCTCTTTTCAGCTCTTTATCCTTTGCATGTTAAGAGGCTTCAAGTGTATGGCACTATTCATAGGAAGGATGCCTTTGAAAATTAGATTTAAAGTTATATGGTTACAAAAATTCTATGTGTGATTAAGACAACATTTGAAATACTTTTCAAATTACATCCTTCTCTAGTCCTGAAGAGAGTTAAATCCTTGGCAATTCTTGAGAAAACTGAACCAAAACGAACATTACTAGTTCCATAGTTTTAATCATTTTACCATAATTATTGTCCAGTACTTTCTGATTTCAAGATTTAAAAGTAGCATTAAAAATGAATCTAATGTGCAATTAGATTGGAAGTCAACATGTCAGTTGTGTTAGTCTACATACTAACTTCCTACCTTTTTAAATAAATGTCATGCTTATCTCCTAATTTCTGATTGTTTGGATTTTTTTTGCAACATTGTATAAGGAGATATAAGCTTTACCATTTATCAAATAGAATATAGTTGACCCTTAAACTACTCAGGGGTTAGATGGTGCCAATGTGCCCACAGTCAAAAATCTGAGTCTAATCTTGGACTACTTAATGGCCTATTATTGACCGGAAGCTTTACCAGTAACATAAATAGTCAATTAACACCTGTTTTGTATGTTATACATATTATATGATGTTTTCTTACAATAAAGTAAGCTAGAGAAAAGAAAATGCTATTAAGAAAATCATAGGGAAGAGAAACTACAATTACAGTACCATGCTGCTTTTACTGAAAAAGATCTACCTATAAGTGGACCAGTGCAGTTCAAACCCATGCTGTTCAAGGGCCAGCTGTATACTCTGTCTTCATAAGGCAACAGATTCATATCTTTTAAAATATATTTTATTGAATAATCTACTTGGAGAATAATTACAAAAGCTTTAAACAGCAATTCCAAGTAGTAAAAGGCAAATTCTTTTCAAAAAAAAAGACCAAAGAGTCCATTATTCTGTTTTGCTGCTTTATACACAGGAATGATTTATTTTACAAACTAGACAGATCCAACATTAGCCTGTAGAATTTAAAACATTTCTTAATATGTCTCAAAGGCAAAGTGAACTTTATGATATGCTTTCATATTAACCAGAATGACAAACCATAAGAAAATTAACACCATAACAGTTCAAGATAAAACTAATAGAATAGGCACTTTGAAAGTGAAATCCGCTACTGTAACTCTCACAGTTCATGTTACTTGTACTTAGGGCATTTCATCAAAGGTTATCAACCGGTGAGGCAAATGTTCCTTTGATGCAGAAGCACAAACACACTTCGGTTCCAAACACTGTGTTCTGGTTGTAATACATGCAAGATGGGCCCTAAATTAGAAAAATCTTCTCAAAGAAAATGAAGAAAAACAAAAAGCAGCCAGGAATGAAAGCATTTACAAGCATTTGAATAAGGCCTTTAAGTGTTAAATCAGTGTTTTAAACCCCTTCATTCTCAGGTAAGGGATTAAGAGGCCGAGAGAGAGATCGTCTGCGAGGGTGAGGATACTGGAGGTTGGCAGTGTCAGCATCGCAAGAGTGCTCTACCAGAGGAGGAGGAGGAGGAGGAAGGAGCTGGGCATAACTGGACCATCTCGATCCAGCCCGTGGGGAATCCAGAGGGGGAAAGAAATACCTGAAACAATGAAGACAGGAACAAAACACCAAAACAAAACAAAAACAACAGAAGAAAAAAAAAAAGAAAAGAAAAAAAAAACAGAAGAAAAAGAGAAAAGTAGTAAATACAAAGAGAACCAAAGAGGAGAAAACACATGCTGGAAAAAAAAAGCTTTAGTATATTCATGCCAAAACTAACAGAACATAATCGCAAAAATCAAGACCCTTACTCAAATCAAGCTTGCTTAAGCAAGTATAGAAACTTGAAAGAAATACAATCTGTTAAACTTAAAATGTTAAAAAAAATTATCAGTATGAATGTTACAAAAAAAGACATTTTATAATTTAAAACATTTTCTAATCTTTCAGAAACATATTTGATGCGATCCTGGAAATTTACAAATCTAATAAGCTTTTTATTTTAAGCAATGCTTCGTTTGTAGTAGCAGCAGGCACACGTTTTGTAGTGCATACATGACACTGAGAACCAATCCAAATATACTTTCACAAAGTATGGCCAGCTATTGCAATATACTTCTGAAGAAATAACAATCTTTGAAAACACTAAGCTGCTTTTCGGCAAAAACCTTAAATAGTACAAAATTTTGATAAGTAAAAGAGCTCAAAGAATATGTTCTATTGTTACTCTTCTGCCATTTTATAACTTACCCGTAATACTTAAGCATATTAGCAAACAAAGACTTATAGCTTTGTCATCAAAGTCAAAGTTCTAGAGAATATGAACTAAATGAAGCAGCCAACTAAATTAAAATCCTGAGACTTGGAATGTGGAGGTTAATGTGCATGCACAATTTCAGCAGATTTTTAACAGCTCCTCTTATAGTATGTTTCCAAATTTTGACTTGAAGGAAAACTTAAGCCATGGAATTATACCATAAAAAATATACAAGCACATATTAGAAACATTTAGCTCTTTAGTGAATAAGAATTGAAAACTTACAAAGATGTTTTCATTTTACTACCAAATTATAAATGAAGCAATACCAAATATTTAATTTGGCCACTAACTGTACAAATTACATTCATTTCACTACTACTACTCTCACTTCTTTACTAATATTTTTTAATATTACAAAGAAATGACAGAGTTGTATTAAATAATATCACATATAAGCCAGTTCTACAAAAGGTAATAAACAAATTAGCACTCAAAACAATCTTTATGAAAAATATTTATTCAATCTTCAAATTAAAATTGTAAAAATTCATCGTTTTAGCTTACTGTTTTAGAAAACAAAAGAAATAAGCCTATATTCTCCAACTGGAATAAAGTGGTGTTTTCCCCTCCTCCCAACTACTTACAAGGATAGCAACAATCCTTTTAATTTTAAAACCCATGTGAGTTTCAGGAACATTTCAAAAAATTGTTTTGGTGACAACGTCTCAACAAAAAGCCTCTCCACTTATATTTCAAAAGTTTCAAATAGTGTCAATAAACTGGCTAGTACAAAAAAATGATATACACTGTATTTTTTAAAGGCCTTTTGGATTGCGTTTAGTGGTAAGCAGGCTGCTGGTGTATCTTGGGAGAGGTCAAACGCGCTGGGGAAAGGGAAAAGGAGCTCGCTTTCCATTCCTGTGTGCATGCAACAAGCAGCAAAACAGCAAAGTTACTCCAGTTAGCTGGTACTCAGCTGTGCTTTCTGTTAAAGGACATAATACAAATGGAGAAGGGAAAATGCATCACAGATCTAACACACACGGTTATTGGCACAGTAAGAATACAGATCAAAACTTCAAAGCTCTTTACAAAAGAATATACACAGTACAGGCAGCAATCAAAAACCAGATATTTTTTCAATTAACGGTAGTATCCTTTGTTTCATGAAATCGTTTTTATAATCTGGGGTCTTCTGTGGTAAACTGAAATTGTTTTCATGCAAATACTGAAACCTCAAAATCAAACAGTAGGACTTTTTATAAAATTTTAACAATATAAAAATAGTTGAAGATGTTTTAAATAGAATTCTAAGATGACAACAGGATAACCACAGGACATTTTTTTAATAAGGGCTATGCTTTGAAGTTTCCTGAATCTTATTCCAAATCATTCACAAAGGCATATTAAAATAAGTTTATTTTATAAATTCACATATTCAAAATTTCCATATGAAAATAAAGGATGACTCTTTAGATCACAAACATTGTCAAGATAAACAAGAATCTAAAATACGTTAAAAATTCTAAAAATCAAGAAATCAAAATTTACCATTTTCTCTTACAATCTCCATTAAAGGTTAAACATACACACACACTACTACTACTACTACCACTACTACTACTACTACTAACATATTAATGCTCATCTAGGACTAAAATCCTTAGCATTATCCCAGATTTGCTCTGCATCTTACTTGAGAAGTAAAATCTTAAAGTTATAAACATTTCTGACAGACCACTAAATTTCACAATATAATTTAGTTTAATGGCTTAAAAATCTACCTATAAATATGATTATGTAAACTAAATACAGAGCTAACAAAGTGATTTTTTTCTAGTATCATAATTGTATATGAATTTCTTCATTCAATCTTAAAATCCATGAAATTACACACCTTTAGTCTGGCTACCAGATTGACTTAAAAAGGAGATAATTTCTAGTTTTCCCACAAAACAGCCTACCTGCCAGAAGAAGATCCATTTAATGAATTTTGAAGATTTGGGATATTTGAACCTAGGGAAGGATTTGAGTTTCCCTGCTGAGAATTCCCATTGACAGGGCTCCCATTACCTTTCAAAATACCAGTACACTTCCAATTGTCCATATAATTAGCTGAAAGGAAAATGGTCAAATACATTAACATGGCTAATAGCTTTGTTAAAGGGCACAAATCTGTATTCAAACTCTCAAACGACAATTAAAAAAACAAAAGAGGACTACCTATCTCGAGATAACTGTTAAAGGCATTTTTTAAATAAAATACATATCTGAATTTAACCAATTTTTTTAAAGTTTTAGAAGAGTTTTGAGACAATTCTCTAAGCTACCACATTAATATCAAAATAAATTCTTCATTTTTATGATAATGAATTTCAATTACTTGTATATGTAGGATAATGGAGTTGTCTTCTTGGTTATACAAGTCATGTGGGTACTAAATGTCCTCAGAGGTACTAAATGTCCAAAGGACCCCTCCTTTGGGGTTTGAGTGGCTAACCCAACATGACCTAATTGTTCTAATGCAAAATAGGTCACTGGAGAGACACTGATCCCTGGAAACCTAAGTTAGAGAGCCTGCTGGGGTGAAGCTGGGTGGTCCTGACTAAAGCCCAGAGGCAAGAAAGAGAGGCAAAGCCCTAGATAGCAAATGACATTAAGGAAAGGGAGGTGTGGGCTGGTTCTACCACAGCCTAAAACTGACCATGGGAGACAGCCAAATTGCATTTTGAGAAACAATAACTACTCAGGGTACACCAACTAAGCTATAGCTTGTATGGGACGCCACTGACTAGAGTGGGACAAGGACCAAGGACACCTCCACCCAGTATGATAAACGTCCATGGAAAAATGTAAACTATGCTGCAGCAACCACAGCCAACATCCAGTTACTAGACCGAATCCTCACTCAGCATGGCATTTATAAGAAACTTTCACAATCAGTGGCCTGAAGATTCTTGAACTTTTGAGAGTTGCAGAGAGGAAGTGGGGATGAAACTGGATTTTCTATTACGGGCTGGTTAGCTAGAGCAATTATTTAATAAAAGATGTCTGTAGTCCTATCCTGCATTTATATAGCAATCACACAAGTTACACACATAGCAAAAGGTATCTTTTGGAGATACTGCGTATTCTGCTACAACTACTTTGCGTTTTAAAAGGTGCTCCACGTGGAAACTTAAAAAACAATAAAAGTGTCATTAACTGCCATGAACTAGGTAAACTGATGGAGGTTCAAAATGACACAAATATAAGACATTAATTTAAAACTAACTGTAGAAAGAGAATTTTCTCCAAAATATTTCTGGGTTTACATTTCTAAATGAAAATTCTGAAGTAACAACACAGAGCAAATCCCTTCATTAAAACCTTACCTTTCCACAATCTTACACAGCCATCATCTCCTGAAGATGCTAACACTGTTCCTGTTATATTCCAACTCACTCGCCAGACCTGGGAATTATGATTATCAAACTGAGCCACTATATGGATTTCAAATTTTGTTGGTCCACCAGAGGAGGTAAGTTCTTTCCTATTAATAAAAAGATTTTCCTGAGAAATACTGAGAAAAGATTTCAAACACACACGGCTCTAAATAAAAAAATACACATATTTACCATATTATTTTATAATTATGTTCATATCCAAAACTGCCACCTTCCCTCCCACACTCCCCAACCTTAACTCATTGAGAGCTGAGCCATGTCGCTTTGACTCTCCAGCACCTGGCATGATCCTACCACCTAAAATTTATTCAGTGATTATTTCATGGAAGAAAAGAGTAACAAAAGAGGACTTTATTCCTCCAAACAAGGTTGAGGAATAAAATATGTAACAATTAATTTTAAAAGGAAAACAGTAGGAAGGGAAGAAGAGAAAAGGGGGGAAGAAAAAAAAAGGAAACGAAATTCACAATTCCAAATTTAAAGCCTGAATACATTATTCACAAGAATGTCTCAGAGCTAATTTAATTGTCCCTAAGTAACCTGCCACCTCTCATTTATTCAAACATTTACACAGCACCAATTATATTCAGAGGATTGAATTAATTTTAACAGCCTAAATAAAATGCAATTAGGAAAACATAAATCTCCTGTCTTTATTCAATTCCCCATCCCAAAACTCATATATTTATAGATAAAATGTTCACTAAAGAATCCGTTCTTCAGATCACAGATGCCTCCTCAGTCTCTTCCACAAATGAAAATAATCATGAATTAAGACCATTTCTAAATTAGTAATTCCTTCAAAAACTCACCTCACAGGCTTTAAAGTAAAAATTCTCACATCTTTGGTTGCTATGGCTAGAATGTGGAAAGACCTTCCCAAGTTTGGAGCAAAGGCAATATCATGGACAGGATCTGTGACTGTCATGAGGGTTTCAGCTTTTGCATATTTCCTAATAAAAAAAACCCTTACATTAAAAATTTCAGAAATTAAAATTTCTAAAAATCCACATGTTGAGACATCTCAATTTTTTTACATTGCTCACAATGAACTAGTGTTTACCTCTGCAGTATATAGTGTGACCAAGGCCTAACCCCCAGAAACTGAATGCGACCTAATTTAGAAAAAGGGTCTTTGCATATGCATATGTAATTAAGGATCCCAGGATAAGATCATCCTGGATCATCTTTATAAAAGACAGAAAAGGAGATACAAAAAAGAAAACCCTATGAAGACAGGGAGAGATTGGAATTATGCGGCCAGACACCAAGGACCTCTGGAAGACACCAGAAGCCTGAAGAGACAAGGAAGGATTGTGGAAGGTGAATGGTGCTGACCACACCTTGATTTCAGATTTCTGGCCTCCAGAACCATGAGAATAAATTTTTGTTTTAATTTTTATTTTGTTTATAGTGATTTGTTATGGCAGCCCTGGGAAACTAATAAAGCCCCCAGGTTTTGTTTTTTGATTTTGTAAGTTTAGCTTAGAACAGTTTAAAAAAACTTTAATTAGAACGAGATGCTGGGACACCTGGGTGGCTCAGTTAAGTTGCTGACTCTCAATGTCAGCTCAGGAATGATCTCACAGTTTGTGAGATCAAGCCCCATATCGGGCTCTGCACTGACAATGAGGAGCCTGCTTAGGATTATTTCTCCCCCACTCTCTCTCTGCCCTTCCCCTGCTTGTACACACTCTCTCGCGCAAAATAAATAAATTTAATTAAAAAAAGAGAATGAGATGCTGATTTATTAGCCATTAATATCTATTTTCAAGAAAAGGGTAATTGATTTCCTATTTGCATAAAAATTGGAAAATGAAGCTGATAACAGGAGAAATTGAGTTCTTTCAGTGGTAATAAAAGACACTATACTGAAATCTCTTTCATCTTACAATTCTAATTCTACATCTGCAAATGGAGAAGATAATGAAGGAGACAACAGATAAGAGTTTTCTATTATGTTTTTCTCTGCTGTCAATTCAGTATCAGGAGAGAACTGAAGCACATCAGCCTGTGTTTAACAGAGGGAGTTAGAGAGAGGTACCTATCTTACCTTTTCACTACCCTCCTCTGATATACTTGTGTTCCCAAAACTCTTTGGTTGGCCTTCTCTTCACACCAACACTTTCCTCAAATGTCTCCAAGCTAGCGCATGCCTCAAGGGTCTCTCCTTGACCTCGTTTTCCCCTATATGATCATCCTAAGTAATCTAATCCACACTCTTGCTGCTTCTATTGTATGGTCGTAACTCCTGTGTTGGATGCTAGACAAGTCACTTTACTTTGTTGATCTATTTCTTCATTTGTAAAATGGTGCTGATATAAATATAATAAATATAAATCCTCACAAGGTGATTGTTAGAATTCAAATTTCATAATGTATGTGAAAATGTCATATAGCCTGTATAAATATAGGTACTTGTACCATTATCAAGATCAGGTCTGTCTTAATATTTTCATTCACCAATAGAAATAAAAATATCCAATACTGGTTAATTTGACAAATGTTTTCTATATACTAAATGGTGTTACTACTTACAGAAAGCTCAGCTACGTATTCATAATTGGATGCTATATACTCAACTATCACATATCCTCTATGTAACATGGTCACTCTGTACAAGAACCTTTGAACAACTCCTCTTATTTCAAAGAAACAGACCAAGGACCAATCCCAAAATGACTGATCTTAAAAGATCTGGTAACTTCCTAAATCAATCCCACACACACTCGCACACAGACATTATTACCTACCCAATGCCACTTCCTGGTCATTCTAGATGCAGAAAATGCCAGGCACTTGCTATCTACTCTCTTGCAGCTAAAGCACAGCATGTGACCCAATTCTAGTCAGTGAGATTGAATGAAAAAGCTTGGTAAGATGCTTCCAGAAAATCTCTTCTCTCCCTCATACAAAAAGATACATAAAAGCTAATGCCCTTCTTTGTATCTACATGTGAATCCTAAGAGGAAGCTGTCACCAACACACTAAAGATGACAGCTAAAAAATGGAAAATGCCAAAGCCTTTGATGTCATCACTGCACAAGTGAGCCACTTAACTAACCCCAGAATGCTCCACTGCCAGGCTCCTTGTTATAGGAGCAAATACAGGGAATCTAGCCCTAGATTTATTCTGCTAAGAGACTTACATACAACTTCAGATTATCTTTATCACTGAATTCTTTTAAGTTTTAGGTACTTTCTAACTGCTCTGTATTTTCTTTCAGAACTACAAGTTCTTTATCCCCTTACTCAAATACTATTTTGAAATAATTTCCATTCTCCTAGGTTTTAGAAGTGGTCCACCTTCGAAGTTTTAGATTTATGCCTCCACACTCATTCTGTTCAGCTAAAGTTGAAAGAAATTAACAGTATTAACTCTTCATAAAGCCTCTTTTAAATGTGCTAGTAATGTGGCTCATAGCTTTAATAGCTTAAAAGGCTATGAAAGCCTCAAAAAGTTCTAGAGGAAGGTTCCTATATTCTAGAACTGTGCTGGCCAATACTCCAGCCACTAGCCACATGTGCCTATTTAAATTAAATTAACAAAAACAAACAAATGCAGTTCAGCTGTAGAAGCCACATTCAAGCTTCAACAGTGGCAAGTGGCTGCTGGCCACTGCGTTAGCTGGCACAGGTATGGGGCTTTTGTATCAGTACAGCAAGTTCTACTGGAGAGCACTGCTGTAAACAGTCTCTCTGAAGAAATCAAGAATCTGGGAAAGTAGAGGGCTGGTGTAAGAACCCCTCAAAAATCCTAGTAACATGATGAATTGCAGAGCCCACAGGAATTAAAATATAGTGGTCCCCCTGTCGGCCACAGTCTCACTTTCCAAGGTTTGTTATCCACAATCAAATTGCCGTCCAGAAGGTGATCCCCCCTGATTTACCGTCAGAAGGTCAGCAGTAGCCTAACACTATGTGACATGCCTACATCACTCACGTAGGCTTTTTATCATCTCACATGGTCACACGAAGAGGAGTGAAAAGAAGAGCGAATACAGCACAAAAAGCTATTTTGAGAGAGGCTGCATTCACAAAACTTTTATGACAGTGTATTGTTATAATTCTTCCATTCTGTTACGAGCTATTGTTAATCTCATGCTCTACCTAACTTATAAATGTTATCATAAGTATGTATGTATAGAAAACAACAGATTATTATATAGAGTTTGGTCCTATTAGAGGTTTCAGGCAGCCACTGGGGGTCTTGGAACTTATCCCCTATGGATAAGGGGAACAACTATAGCTCTCTTCTATTTTTCGCCCTACCCAATTCTGACTCGTAGACCCAAAGTTGTTACCTAGCACATGTGAAGCCCACCTGATCAACTGATGGGTGCTCTTTTCCCCTACAAGATTCTGAGAACACTTCTGGCACACAGCTTTCAGTTCTCAGAAGTACTGCAGGTTTCTCAACATGACCCAAAATCAATTCTCCTTCACATGCTGCTACAGTCTACCCAAATCTCTCCTGTTTCTAGATGTCCTTAGAATTATTAAGCCAGAGCCTTGAAAATCATCTCAGTAGCTCCCCCATTCTTCACTTTCTAAATCTAGTCATCAGATCCTATTGATACCATTTCTTAAATTATTCTCACTGTCCACTTCTCTCCATACCCATCTGCTACTACTCTATGGCAAAGCCCTTATAATCTCCCACCTGGACTGTGACAACAGCATCCAATCACTGAATCCACTCATGTTGACCTCTAAAATACTTTCCACACCTATGGAAGAGTCTAACTACCATCCAAACCTATTATTTCCCAACTTAAACAACTTTCAATGGCTTCATATTACCCATAAAATCTAAACATGAAACATTGGGTCTTGCAGATATAAGCCTTGCATATTTCTCACACACTCCCTTTTGCCTATTACATTTCAACTACAATAAAAATATATTGGTTTTCTCTTGTTCATGTATCTTATCACATGTAGTTTTCTCCATTTGGAATGTTTTGCCCTCTTTAACATTTTACTTTTTACTCATCCTGTAAGTCTTATCTGGAGTGAACCTTCCTGGCCCTCTCTCCCCAGGTGTAGTAAACCCTTAACATACTGATTCTACCAGTTTATAAAATTCATCACCATTTTTTACTATTTTTGTTTGTTTTCTCTGCAAGATGGAATATACTAGGAAATCAGTCACCTTTTCCTCTATATCATTCAATTTTATATTATGGTAGCCTGGCACAACTTGGCATAGCCTAGGAAATTAGTAAATATGTAATGAATCATGCATCATTCAATCAATGAATAAAGAAATAACATTTTAAAAAATTAAAAACAATTAAGAACAATAATTAAGACCAAAGCAGTACTAACCTGGTGTTTTCATTATATTCGAAAATCTGAACCTTGGCCATTGCATTTGGACTACTGTCATCACTTCCTACAGCTATCATGGGGGAATGAGCACGTGAGCTAGAAATGAAGAGTAAAAACTATTTTACATAAGTATAAAGTTAATATACATCTATTTCAAAGGATGAAAAAAAACGTGTCATCAAGTAGCTCTACAACCCACAAATAAGCATGCCACTACTGTGACAAGATCTCTGCCACACATCTGACACAGTTGCACCTTGGGAGGGTGCGTCCTTGAGAATGCTCAACGTGGAGACAGATAATACCTTCCTCTTGCCCCTCTTACTGACAGAAAGTAGCTCTTTTCCCAAAAGAAAAAGTTTCAAGCATTCAATAGATTAAAAAAAATAATAGTAAGAGCCAAAAAACAAACAAAACCAAACAAACAACAACAACAAAAAAGACAGCCACTAGGTCTTAGAATTCTTCTTCCTGAAATATTTGGTCATTAACTATGAAATGAAAGGTAATCCTATGGTGACCAATTCATGACAAAAAAATTTTAAATGCTTTGTACAAAAAGAAGAAACCCTGGGGATGCCTGGATGGCTCAGTAGGCTCAAGTCATGACCACAGGGTTTTGTGGGATTGAGCCCCTCAGGGGCCCTCTCTCTCAAAATAAATAAACTTAAAAAAAAAAAAAGAAAGAAATCCTGATAAAAGGAGAAAAAGACCACACCTCAAGAAGGTATGCTACCCACATGTCATTCTCTTCTCTAGGTTTTTAAAAAGGCAAAAGAGAAGTACTAAGATAACGAACTCTACTGAAGTAAACTCTAGATTACATTATTTTTTTCATTTCTATACCTAATTACCTCAATATTGATTTCCTCTGCCTCCCTCATCTAGATTAAGTAGTATCTCTATGAACATTACCCCTTAAGAGCTGACCTTGACAGTGTCATCTGCCAACCTCATAAAGGTGACAACAGAATGTAGTAATTAAAAAAAAAAAGGTTTAGTTTTTTACTATTAAATGATAAAGAAATGAAGTCACCTATATAAAAAAAAATACCTAGTAAATTGGAAAGTGCTACAGTAATAAAGTAAATCTGGGAAGGTAGTAAGGTAATAAAATATATCTTAGCCATTCAAAGAGATAAATTCCAAGTAGTTTCTGCCTCTCATAAACTTCCTGTTTTCAATGTTCAAAAATATAACTTTGTTTTCTAATGTTAAATATGTGAGCAAAGGCATTTATAGTAACATTCTAATATTCTGAAAATATAAATCTTTTAAGAAACATTTTTTATTTTAAGTAACCTCTACACCCAATGTGGGGCTAGAACTCACAACCTTGAGACCAAGAGTCACATGCCCCACCGACTGAGCCAGCCAGTTCAGTCATTTAAAAACATTTTTAGGGGCGCCTGGGTGGCTCAGTCAGTTAAGCGTCCGACTTCGGCTCAGGTCATGATCTCATGGTTCGTGGGTTCGAGCACCGTGTTGGGCTCTGTGCTGACAGCCAGCTCAGAGCCTAGAGCCTGGAGCCTGTTTCAGATTCTGTGTCTCCCTCTCTCTCTGACCCTCCCCTGCTCATGCTGTCTCTCTCTCTCTCAGAAATAAACATTAAAAATAAATAATAAATAAAAACATTTTTAAATGAAATTATAAAACATCCAGATAACAACCTGAACTGAAGATTACCTCATTTGTACATCCAGAAATAAGCTATTCACATTAAAACTGTGTCCCAAATATGACTCACAATTAAACAGTGAGACAAACCCTTCATTCAGTTCTCTGACTGAAGTAGATTGATCACCTACATCTCTCTCCTTCCTCTCCCTCCTAAGATTCCATGGAAATGATTAAAGAGTAACACCATCTTAACAGTCCTAGAAATCAATGTGCCATCAGAAATCAAGAAATTTAAAGGAATTTCAGGAAGACAAGAAGCAGAAAGAAGACATGCAAGGGGGACAAGAAAAGAGCTCTATCAGTATCACTGAGGAGGAAATTCCACAAATTCCAACCTCCTCAATAAATGCAAAGAATACGAATGAGTAAGGGGGCAATCATGAAATGATTCATTTAAAGAACTGCAATCAGAAGACCCCTTGGCTGGCAGCTAACTAGGCTCTAGCTAAAGAGAGTCTAAGAAGGATAAGTGGGATGATATGAACTTAAAAGAGGAAAGAGATTCTGAAATAAAACAGCACCCCAAAACTGGCAGGGAGAGGAACAAGGAGTAACAAAATACATTATGGTGCTCCATCCCAAAAGTCAAGTCCTCCTGATTTTGGCAATTTGGCTTACCCCGGCTTGCTTCTTTCCTCGGTTTCCTTGGCCTATGTGTTTATAACCCCCAAAATTCAATATTTGGGGCAGCTCTGCAAAAAATGAGTCATCTGACCTATGCAGTCCATGCTGAGATCAAACAAGATAAGGTTCTGCCTTCTATTTCAGCTCTCATGCTGAAAACAAGTGTTGCCTTCTACTTACCACCATGCTTTTCACATTTTTATGCTTTGTGTTGGTGATTTCACTATTTAAAATGGCCCCCGGGGGTGGGGCTGAAGCGCAGTCTACTTTCTAAGCTTAGCAAGAAGGCTACAAAGTGCTTTATGGAGAAAATACTGCTTTAGATAAGCTTTGTTCAGCCCTGAGTTTTAATGCTGTTGGCAGACTTCAATGTTAATGAATCAGCAACATATGCTCAAAAAAGGGTATCTTTAAACACAAATACTCATAAAACAAGGTTAAATATTTATAAGGTGACAAAAACGTGACCAAAGGCTCATGGGAAACCAATCCCATATCTCCCAAAGGAGTGAAAGACACACTTGTCCCCTTAACTGCCTCCATTTGGACCTCAGTCTGTACTTTCTAACTGATGAAGTTTTTTCCAACTTATCTCTTAACTCAGGCAAAAGACTCAGCCAGCAAGCATCACATAATGAGACCCAAAACTATCAACTGCCCTGCTGCCAGCAAGACCAAAGTGAAAAAGTGAATGAGCTCAAGGCAGTGACTGACCTGACCTTTATCCCATATTTTCCTTATATAAGCCTGGAAATATTTTCAGCACTTTGGAGACAGCTTTTGTGACACTAGTCCAGTGTCTTCCCAGTGTGGCCCTCGCTAATATAAATTCCTCTATTGTTCCATGACTACTCATCTCTCTGCCTCTGGATTTACTAGCAGCAAGTGGCCAAACCTGGCCCATTTGAGCCCCCCAGGGCCCAGGTGCTTTGGACCCTGTGTTCCCATTACAGGAGCAATGGTTCAGCTCATTCAGTGTTCACTGAACTTTATAGACCATAACTACTGCAAATAAGGAGACCTGGCTGTACTTCAAGAAAGAAACAAATTTTTAAAAATTTTAATTATGATCCTCAGAGAAATATCGTATCAATGTAACAAAAACTGACTGGATGGATACCTGGAAAACGAGCAGGAGATCTTGATGACAGAGTAGTAAACCTCCAAACCATTTTTAAAACATGAGACAGTAAATCCAAGAATATTCAAAGATGAGTTCCATAAAGACAGAACAGAGAGAACATTAGAGAATTATCAAAGAATCATAAAAATTTTTTAAAAAGAATCATAAGAAATCTCCAATTTGAGACAAGAACCTTCATTTTGAAAGGGACCACTAAATGTCAAGCTGGATGAATCAAAAAAGACCAACATCTAATAGTATATGACTGGGTTTACTTTGAAATAATCCAGTTTTTTACTGGGGGAAGAGGGACAGTGAGAAGTCATACACAGATGAAAAAAGAGTAGCTTTGAGTTATTGCAGATTGATGATGAATGTGTGATGGTCTGCCCATTGTATTATCATTTCTAGTAGATATGAAAATTTGCCTAATAAAAAATGTAAAAAAATAATACCTAGAAACATCCTGGATAAATTTTAGAATTCTACTACCCGAAGTCACACAAGCAATTCCAGGAGGTATAATGACCTAAATGTGAAAGGCAAAACCAAAATCCATTCAGAATACACTTGAAAACCTTAATGTGGTGACAAACCCCTCAAGTAAAGTACAAAAAGCACCAGAACAATAAAGGAAAGACTGATACATGTGGCTACATTAAAATTCAGAACTCTCAAGGGGCTCCTGGGTGGCCCAGTCACTTAAGCGTTCAACTCCTGATGTCAGCGCAGGTCATGCATGATAAGTCTCATGGTCATGAGATAGAGGCTTGCATTGGGCTCTGTGGAGAGTGTGGAGCCTACTTAAGATTCTCTTTCTCTCCCTCTGCTCCTCTCCCCCACTCACACTCTCTCTCAAAAGAAATAAACATCAAATATTTATAATAATAAAATAAAATTCAGAACTTCCTACCGTGAAAAGTCATTACAGTGTCAAAATGACAAACAACAAACTAGGAGACTATACATGCAACAGAGTTCTAAGTAGTAAGACAAAAATCCTGAAAACTTCCAGAAAAACAGGCGACCTACATAAGAACCAGCATTAGACTGACCTCAGACTTCTCATTAACAAAACTTACATTAAAAAGATTCTCAAGGACACTATCTTCGAAATTCTTACATTTTGAACTTAGAACCCTAAAACTAGCCAAACTACAATTAACAATGCGGTAAATTGAAGACGTTTTCTGGTATGTCAGAATTAAAAGAAGTTTGCCACCCATCCGTATGAGAAAAAATATACTTTAAGTGGTGTGTCACCAAAATGAGAAAAAAAAAAATCTAAAGACAAGATGTGATATGAAAATTATGACAGCCAAATATAACCCAGAAGACTCAAGAAAGAAAAGAGAGCATCCATCAGAAGTTAACATCAGATATTCTGCATGAACAACAATTTTCAAGACAAAGATTAGATTTGGATTTATAATGAATATTTACATAGTCTAATAACATAAATTTGGCTGCTACTTAATTTTTAGAAACAACTTGCAGCAAAAGATAAATGCTTATATTGGGACACCTGGGTGGCTCAGTCGGTTAAGCGTTCGACTTCGGATCAGGTCCTGATCTCATAGTTCGTAATTCAAGCCCCGTGTCAGGCTCTGTGCTGACAGCATAGAGCCTATAGCCCACTTCTCTGTGTCTCTCCCTCGGTCTCTGCCCTTCCCCCACTTCTGGCCACAATGTCTCTTTCTCAAAAAGAAATTTTAACATAAATACTTATATATGTATTAAATATTTACCGAATGTAAATATAAATGTACACTTTGCCAGTTTTATAAGCAACATAACAAAATAGAAAATAGGTGAATGGGAGGTAGAAGCAAAATAAGCTAATTTCCTTTATTAAATAAAAAATGTGAGTCCATATACAATCTAAAAATTGATAAATCGCTCAGTAGAAAAATGTATATATCACTTGAAATTATGGTAACTACAGATATAACTAAAAAACCATCAACATTTCTACAAATAAGGTATCTATCGGGGCACCTGGCTGGCTCAGTCTGTGTGTGGAACATGTGAGTCTTGATCTCAGGGTTCCAAGTTCAAGCCCCACATTGGCTGTAGAAAAATAAAATCTTAAAAAGAACAAAAAGATATCAGGGCACCTGGGTGGCTCCGTCAGTGAAGCATCTGACTTCAGCTCAGGTCATGATCTCACAGCTTGGGAGTTTGAGACCTGCATAGGGCTCTATGCTGACAGCTCAAAGTCTGGAGCCTGCTTCAGATTCTGTGTCTCCCTCTCTCTCTCTCTCTCTCTCTGACCCTCTCACACTCACACTCTGTCTCTCTCAAAACATTAAAAAAAAAAAAAAAAAGATATCTATCTAGTAATACCTTGAGAAGTGGAAAGCTTTGTAAATATGCTAAATTGATCTTTCATATAGTGATTATACACACTGTTTAAAGCTAACATAGCAGGAATCAGAGGCATAAATAAACCGTTTAAAAATATAACAGCAACTGGGGCACCTGGCTGGCTTGGTTGAGCAAACAACTCTTGATCTCAGGATTGGGGGTTTGAGCCTCATGTTGGGTACAGAGATTACTTAAAAATAAAATCCTTAAAAATTTTTTAAAATTAAAAATACAATACCAACTATCAGAATTAAAATCTAAAATCAGAACTATCAGGGGCATGTGGCTCAGTCAGTAGAGCATCCGACTCTTGATCTCAGGGTTGGGAGTTACTTAAAAAAATAAATAAATAATAAAATCAGAACTAGTAACATTTTTAGGGGGTAGAAGAACTTTTACCTTTCATTTTATACTCCTCTGAATTATTTGAAATTTTTTCTTTACCAAGTGATTCATTATTCTTTCAATTTTTAAAAATAGTTTAATTAAAACCAACTGTAATATAATCAGAGTCATGCTCTATACAATTAAAAAAATAAGGTAGGAGTGGGGCGCTTGGGTGGCTCAGTTGGTTAAGTGTCAGACTTTGCCTCAGGGGATGATCTCACAATTTGTGAGTATGAGCCCCACATCTGGCTCTGTGCTGACACTTCAGAGCCTGGAGCAAGCTTCTGATTCTGCCTCCCTCCCTCTCTGCTCCTCTCCACTCATGCTCTGTCTCTCCCTCTCTCTCTCTCAAAACTTAAAAAAAAAATGTTTTTTAATAAATAAATAAGGGAGGACTAATACTACTATGTGGGAAAATAGCCAAAATGTTATTTGTAAATGAAAAAGTCAAACTTCAAGTAGGGAGAATGTACATCTATATCTGTCTGTGTGTTTGGGGTCTACCTTTACGTGGCATGTTTATATTGGCAAATATTTGTGTTTATAAACACATTAAAAATTTCTTTGTATATACATAGGAAAAGCCAGAAGGTGCACACCAGAATATTTACAATGATTGGCTTCTTCTGTGGAATAAAAATAGAGGACAGAGACATTACAGAGTACAGGGTAGATTAGGGAGAATTTTTATTCTACACAATATATATTTTTAAAAATAGAAAACATGACTACTTAAAAACATTTTAAGGAATTAACATTTAATTAAACCATCAAATGCTTAGCTTAAAAATTAGGAATTTGTTTTACTAGGATTATATTATCAGGTTTTCTATATAAGCTTACCTTGAAGGATTCCAAGAAATACAACTACAGCTTAGCTTACATGAAATCTCATGCTGCAGAGACCACTGGCTGAGATTCATAACATCTGGTGCCTCATATATTCTTACTATACCATCTGCCGAACAGGTTGCTAACATAAGACCCATATGCTTAGGGGCAAATTTCACATCGGTAACGGATGTTCTGCTATCCACTAGAGTTGTCCTCTTAACCTGAAAAAAAAATTATTTAGATACAAAATAAAGGATGATATAATGGAAAGAACAGAGACTCTGAAATCACACTATTTTACTAGGTATGTAGCCATGAATAAGTTACTTTAAAACCACCCAGGCCTCCATTTCCTCCACAGCAAATGATCATATACACAGCTGGCAATCAGTAATAGTGACCTATAATTATTCCCAGGGTGCCTGTGTGGCTCAGTCAGTTAAGTGTCCAACTTCAGCTCAGGTCATGATCTCACAGTTCGTGAGTCTGAGCCCCGCATCGGACTCTGTGAGCTCAGAGCCTGGAGCCTGCTTCAGATTCTGTGTCTCCCTCTCTCTGACCCTTCCCGGCTCACGTACTCCCACACTCGCTCTCGCACTCTCTCTCTGGCTCTATCAAAAATAAATATTTAAAAAATTTTGGGATGGAATACCTGGGTGGTTCAGTCAGTAAGCATCTGACTTCGGCTCAGGTCATGATATAATGGTTCATGGGTTCAAGACCTGCCTTGGGCTCTGTGCTAACAGCCCAGGGGCTGGAGTTGGCCTTGGATTCTGTGTCTCCCTTTCTCTCTGTCCCTGCCCCACTCACGCTCTGTCTCTCAAAAATAAACATTAAAAAAATTAAAACAAGAAATGTTTAATGTATAAAAATATAAAAATAAACTTAATTATTCCCTTTATGGTAGAAAAAAGTTGGCCTTAGAAAGTCTAACTTTATTAAAAGTAGGTACTCTCCCTTAAGCAGACCAGTCACTAAACCAGAAAATGTTCAAATTTTCACATGGGTAGCTTTGTCTCACCAAGCATGCTGCAAGCAGTAAGTTAAATGAATTAAGATGTTTTAACAGTAAAATGGAAGACCTGCCACTTCATCTTTCAAGCATAAATGCCAGTTAGCCCTGTGTGGATCACCACTATCCACTTTTAAGAGAAGATATTTACTAGAAACCAAGGGAATGGTACAAAGCTGGCATTGTGATAATTACAGAATTCTAACATAGCATGTACAAGCTACTTTCTGAAATCTAGATTTCTGACAGACAATATCAACAAAATGGAGAAATCAGCACTTTAGTGTCTATGGTTACTAAAATACATCTTTAGGCATCTCAATATTAAAAGAATATCACATAGACTCCAAAGATTGCATCTTTGCAAACTTTTGTCTACAAACACCACTGAATAATCAATACCAATACAACTGCTGAAATCGTAAATGATTAATGACTAAATCCAATTTACAGTTGTATTATAATTTGTTTAACTAAATACAAATAAATAAGTATCCCCTGCTCTTCAAAGGTTTGTGTTAAGCCACTTTGATTTTTACAAAAGACCTAATTAGTACCTTTTCTCACTAACCAAAAGAAATCTGAAGAGGATTTTTGCTTTTGCGAAAAGCAAAAATAGCATTCAGAATTTGCTCTGCAAGCCACTACAGAGGCAGCATACACCCTCAGCTTCAAGAATGGCACTGCCGGCTCCTTCCCTGGGAACTACCCAGTATCTCACCATCCAACTGAAGCTTTGAACTGTGTCTTTGAGCATCTGTGCTTTAACTCAATTTATGTTGTGCACAGTGTGTCCTAAGGTACCAGAAAAACCTAAGAGGTTATTTTTTGGTTCTGGGAAAGCTCAGAAATTTTTCCATGTAAGTTAGCAGTAACTGTTTCTCCACTTTATATCACTTCAGCTTACAAAAGTTCTCCTAAGAATGCTCTACTTTCATATAACAGGGGAGACCTATATCTTTAAGTTCAAGTAAAAGTCCTATGTTACTACTTACTCCTCAACCCAACTCACAGATACTAAAAAACTAACCATCTCAGACTGGCTGCTAGAAAAATCCCTAGTATAAATTTCTCTTCTCTCCTCCCATGGGGCCAAAGCACCTGGGTGGCTTAGTTAGTTAAGCATCTGACTCTCTCAGCTCAAGTCGTGATCTTACACGGTCTGAGTTCAACCCTATAAACAGCTCCACGCTGACAGCTTGGGTCCTGCTTGGGATTCTCTCTCACTTTCTCTGCCTCTCTCCCACTCACACTCTCTGTCTCTCAAAAGAAATAAACTTCAAAACAATTTTTAAAAGGGAGCGCCTGAGTGCCTCATCACTTAGGCATCCAACTTCAGCTCAGGTCATGATCTCACAGTTCATGGGTTAAAGCCCGGCATGGGGTTCTGTGCTGACAGCTCAGAGCCTGGAGCCTGCTTCAGATTCTGTGTCTCCCTCTCTCTCTGCCCCTCCCCTGCTCACACTCTGTCTCTGTCTCTCTCTCTCTCAAAAATAAATATTTTTTAAAAATTTTTTAATTAAAAAAAATTGTAGGGGCACCTGGCTGGCTCAGTTGGTAGAGCATGTGACTCTTAAATCTTGGGGTCATGAGTTCAAGCCCTACGTTGGGTATAGAGATAATTAAATTTTTTAAAAAAATTTATAAAACCATGAATAGCATGCAAGCTACAAACCTAGAATAATTAAAAGACTATGATATTGGCATTAAAGAAACCTATACAGCAATGGAACAGAACAGAGTCCAGAAATATACCCTCTATATATGGTCAATTGATTTTCAATGAAGATGCCAAGATCATTCAATTGGGAAAGGGGGAGGCGTCTCTCCTGATCAGATGGGGGCCCCTAAATATGGGGCAACCTAAAGGGTGGAAGCTGGAGGCAAGGGCAGTGAAAGGATTCACCTGAGGCTGAACAAAGGAGATAGAAGTTTATCGAACAGAACACAAGGGAGTTGGGGGGAGCAAAGCAGAGGTTGTCTGCTATGAGGCATAGGGTAGGGGCTGCATTTAGAGGAAAGAAGGAAGTATGAGGACTTCTGGAACTTTCCCTTTTTTGGGAACTGTGACTGGTTCTAAGTGACCCATTGGTTAGTTAGGGCCTATAAACATTCTGAGGTAGGCTGCCTAATGGGCCTGTTTACATTCAGCCAGTAGGTTACTGTGGGCCCTTTTGCTTTGCTTTTTACATTCCGTTGCGCAAGCCTGTAGTCTAAAAGCAGCCTCTATGAAAGGCAATGGGACAGTCGTTCTCAGAAAAGATACTGGGAAAACTGGATATTAAGATACAAAAGAATGAAGTGGGAGGAACCTGGCAGGCTCAGCTGGTAGAGCATGTGACTCTCGATCTCAGGGTCATGAGTTTGAGCCCCATGTTGAAGGCAGAGATTATTTAAGGAAGGAAGGAAGGAAGGAAGGAAGGAAGGAAGGAAGGAAGGAAGGAAGGAAGGAAAGGAAGGAAGGAAAGGAAGGAAGGAAGGAAGGAAGGAAGGAAGGAAGGAAGGAAGGAAGGAAGGAAGGAAGAAAAAGAAAAGGAGAGACGGAGAGAGAGAAAGAGTATGAAGTTGTACCCTTACCTTACACCATTTACAAAACTTAAGTAACAATGAACACAAGACCTAAATGTAAGAGCTAAAAATTATAATACTCTTAATATAAAACTTTGGGGAAAGTCTTTATGGCATTGGATTTGACAATGATTTCTTAAATATGCCACCAAAAACACAGGAACCAAAAGAAAAAATTAATTGGACTTCATGAAAATTTTTTAATTTTGTGCATCAAAGGACACTGTCGAGAGAGAGAAGGTAACTCACAGAATGGGAGAAAATATTTGTAAATCACACACCTGAAAAGGGATTCATATCCAGAAGATAAAGAACTCACACTCAAAGCAAAAAAAATTTTTTTGTAAATGGTCAAAGGACTTGAAAAGACATTTCCCTAAAAAAGTAAAGAATTCTGGTAACAATTCCAACTTGGGTTTGGGGAAGACCTCCCCCTCAACAATTAATTCTCGGATAGCAGTAAGCTGTCCAAGAATTCAACTCAATTTTGACTCTATCTACCCAGAAACAGTATCAGATTCCACAGGTTAAGGGTTCAATCGTGCTAGACTGCCCCCACTTCGGACACCTATGCAGCTCTCAAAACTCAGACATTTTGCTTAATAGATCACCAATTTATTATAAAGGGACAGAACTCAGGAACAGCCAGTTGGGAGAGATGCATGGAGCAAAGTACGGGGAAACTGTGAGGAGTTTCTATGCCCTCTCCAGATTTACCACTCTCCCCACATCTCCACATGTTCACCAACCCCAAAACTCTGAACCATGTTCTCTGGAGTTTTTATGGATACTTCAATAATTACATGGGCATGACTGATTAACACATTAGCCAATGGCAACCTATTCAATCTCCAGTCCCTCTTCCCTCCCCAGAGGTCAGGGGTGAGACAGAAAGTTCCAGCCCTCTAATCACATTGGCAACCAGCCCCAACCTTAGGCACTTTCCCAAAGTCACCTCATTAACATAACAAAAGATACCTGTATCACTCTGAACACTTAGGAAATTTCAAGGGTTCTGGGAGTAGTAACTCAGGAACTGCATTAGGAAAACCAAATTTACACGAGCAATAAATTTCTTATAAATCAAGACACTACAAGAAGATATACAGGGGCGCCTGGGTGGCTTAGTCGCTTAAGCGTCCAACTTTCGCTTGGGTCATGATCTCGCGGTTCGTGGGTTCGGGCCCCGCGTCGGGCTCTGTGCTGGCTGCCAGCTCAGAGCCTGGAGCCTGTTTCAGTCTGTGACTCCCTCTCTCTCTGACCCTCCCCTGTTCACGCTGTCTCTCTCTCTCTCTCTCCTAGAAATAAATAAAACATTAAAAAAAAAAAAAAGAAGATATACAAATAACCAATTTACACATAAAAATGTGTTCAACATCACTAACCATTAGGGAAATGCAAAAAAAAAAAAAAAAAAAAAAAAAAAAAAGAAGATATACAAATAACCAATTTACACATAAAAATGTGTTCAACATCACTAACCATTAGGGAAATGCAAAAAAAAAAAAAAAACTTAAGAAACAAAATAAGATAAAAACAGAGAAAGCAAACAAATACACAGAACAAACAGAGCTGCTGGAGGGGAGGTGGGTAGGGCTATGGGCTAAATGGGCTATGGGCATTAAGGAGAGCACTTGTTGGGATGAGCAGTGGGTGTTATATTTAAGTGATTAATCACTAAATTCTACTGCTGAAACCATTATTACTCTACATGTTAACTAACTTTGAATTAAATAAAATTTTTAAAAAATCCCACAAGGAGGTGCCATTTCACACCCACTAGGATAGCTACAATGGGGGGAAAAAACCCAGCAAGCATTGGCAAGGACGTGGAAAAACTGAAACACTCCTCCATTGCTGGTAGGAATGAAAAATGATACAGTCATTCTGGAAAATAATTTAGCAGTTTCCAAAAGTTAAAACACAGAACTTCCATATGAGCCAGAATTATACTCCTAGGTATATATGCAAAAATACTGAATGCAAGACCTCAAACAGGTATCTATATAACAATGATCATAGTAGCATTGTTAGCGAGGATGCAACAGGAAGTTAATCAAATAAGAAGACTGAAAGCTATCAGCAGAAGGGAAGAGGGAAAGGGACAAAAGCAGGGAAAGAATATATTTTGTTTTGGAGAACCAACAGTTCTAACCAAGGAGACACCCAACTAGGTACCTGATATCTCCTTACGTGATCCAGTTTGAGCTGGACTAGGCTTGAGGACATGCAGTGAAGCCCCCAAGTTATCCTGAAGCTACCTCTTATATATTAAGATTTCCTATGGGCGGAGTTTTCCACCATATTTTGAACATCGATGGACACACTAGCATGTTGACGTTCCAGGCATGTGCAAGCGAAGTATTTATGCAAGCTTCCTGCCCCTGCCCCCAATACACTGAATAAAACCTTCCTAACCCCACAAGAAGACAGTGCTTTGGAAGCTGTCTCCTTGTAACAAATAATAAAAAGTTTTTTTGCTTTCAACACTTTCTTGGGTTGTGTTCAATCTGACGCACCCCAAGTGGCAAATCCCTGGAGTTAGAGCATTATTTACAATAGCTAAGAGGTAGGAACAACCCAACTATCTATCTACAGATAAATGAATACACAAAATGTGCCATATACACACAATGGAATGTTATTCAGCCATAATAGGAATGAAATTGATATACGTATACGTCCATACACGCAACAATATGGACGGACCTTAAAAACATTTTGCTTAGCAAAACAAGCCAGATACAGAAGGACAAATATTCTATGATTCCATTTATATGAAGTACCTAAAGCAGTCAAATTCCTAGAGACAGAAAGTAGAACAGAGGTTACCAGGGGTTGGGGGAATGGAAGGATGAGGTACTATTCAATGTTATCGGGCTTATGTTGGGAAAAATGAAGTTGTGATACAGATATTGGTAATATGCACACAGCACTGTGAATGTAATTAATGCCACTGAACTGTACACTTACAGTTAACATGATAAATATTATGTTATGCATGTTCTACCACAATTTATATTATGCAGCTGAAAAAAAAAGCAGTACTGATAACATACAAGCATTAGTGTTGAGAGGAAGGTGGATAGGACTGGTAAACAGAGGAGGAAACACTGTATGTATGCCCTTATAAAGGCATAGAATATATCCAGAAAAATACACAAAAAATTTACAACAGTGGTTGACTCTACAGAGCAAACTGTGTGGCTAAAGGGGAGAAAGTTGTTACTGTAAACATTCATTTATACCTTGTGCCTAATTATCTATCACAAGAAATTAAAAAAAAACCAAACACTGGAATGGTCTTAAAAGTAATCTAGTTCAATTCTCTCACTTTACAGACACAGAACTTGACTAGTACACACATTATAATCTTGTTTAAAATCAAACATCCAATCAGGGAAGAGCAGAGAATAGCAGAAGCAGATGAAGAGTATATTTTATACGAAAGCAAAGGTAACCAAAGGAGAAAAAACAATATTTTAATGGATTTTGAGAGGGCACTCACTCTAGGACAATGCAAATACTACAGATTTATCATGAAAGTTATCATTAAACAATGCCATGAGTGCTCCTGAGTACCACTTCAGGCCCAAGACAAAATTAAATAAACAAGTAGCAGAAAAACATGGAAGAGGAAAAATAGAACTGGTAAACATAGAGAGGAGTGGTAACATCTTATCAAGTGCCTGAAGTGTTCTTGAAAAGACTGATGCTCCTTGAAGTCACACATCCTCCTCCCCAAAACCCCCAAAAGCAACAAATGTCTCACCCAATGACTTTGTCCTCTCAGTTTATCATTTGATTCTCCTACTATTTCTTCCCACACAGCAGCTGTTCGGTCAAAAGAACAAGAAGCCAAAACCTGTCCAAATTCTGGATGGGCCCATGTCACACGCCACACAGATCCACTATGTGTCTGAGGAATTATTTTAAAAAAACAAAAAAACAAAAATTGACTTTACTCATATTTCATACATACAAAGTTTTACTTGCAGAAACAGAACATAGATGTTTTTACTTCAGTAAGAGCAGAACATTATTCAATTTTACATTTAAATAAAAAACTGTGAGTTCTGGAAATTTTTGACTCTTAGAAGATATTCTCTTTTTAGATTATGGCCCTTCTGGAGTCAAGTCCTTCTAACATTTTACTAATAAAGAAAAACCCAGCTGGATAAAGCTGACCTCTTCTAGTACTAACAGAGACCTGCTTAAGAATTTAGCCTAATCAACTTTATTTGCTTCAAAAGCCTAACAGTATACAGAAACTACAGCAGTAAAACGCTTAAATGACTCTGAAATCTGGCTAGACTGTGGACTACTCTAGGAAGTGAGGCAATGACTGATAAAATATAGAGAAACCCAAATCCTTGTATTCTGAAAAAAATAATTTAAATCTCAGTAGCATTACCTTTATTATGTGAAAAATGCCAAATTACGATTCTTCAACTCTCATGTTGACAAAAGGGGAAAAAAAGGAACAGAAAGGTCTTAAAACATTTCACATAGGGGCGCATGGATGGCTCAGTCTGGTAAGTGTCTAACTCTTAATTTCAGCTTAGGTTATGATCTTGGAGTTCATGAGATCAAGCCCACATCAAGCTGGGATGACAGTGTAGAGCCTGGCTGGGATTCTCTCTCTCTGTCCCTCTCCCACTCTTTCCTTCTCTCTCTCTCCCTCAAAATAAATAAACTTAAAAAAACAAAACCTATAGCCTGAGTGGCTCAGTCATTAAGCATCTGACTTCCGCTCAGGTCATGATTTCCCTGTTCATTAGTTCAAGTCCCACTTCGGGTGAACAAGAAATAGGAGTTTCCTTTTGGAGTGACAGTTTTGGAACTGGATAGAAGCGGTAGTTGTACTAACACTATGAATGTAGTAAATGCCATTGTGTTGTATATAAAGGATCTAACTACTGATACATGCCACAATATGAATGAACCTCAAGGAAAAGGGAAAGTAGCCAGACACAAGTAACTACATATTATAGAATTCCATTTATATGAAAGGTCTAGAAAAAGTAAAACTACAGAGACAGCAAACAGTTCAGTGGTTGCCTAGGGCTTGGGTAGACAATGGGGATTGACCCCAAACAGCCACAAGGGAAATTTCAGGGCTACACAAGTGTAGAAATGTATTAAAATTCGTTGAACTATACATTTAAAATTGATTATGCTAGTGGTATGTAAAAACCTGTCTGAATAAAGCTGAAAAGAAATAGAACTTGTACAAAACAGCACAACTACTAAAAATATGCAAAAGAACAGATAAGTAATAAATACTAAAATGCCAAGAATAGTTATGTTAGAACACTATGAAATTGCACATTTTCCTACTCTCAAGTTTTCTGAAGCACACTTTTGTTACTTTAACAGTTAAACACAAAATATTTTAGGAAAAGCATACATTTTATAATTCTTTCAAAGAATAACAAGTCACTGATGCTACCAAATAAATAGTAAACATCTCAATTTTTTTAAAAAATCACTGTAAAAATACTAACCTTCCAACTAGCAGTACAATGCCAATCCCCATTTTCACTTTTATCCCAGACCTATAAGAAAATAAAAGACATATTTTATACAAAATATTCCTACAAACATGACAAACATGAAGACTGAATCAGTATTAAGGCAAAAGAAATGAACATAAATTCACAAAATAACACAACCAATAAGTAAATTTTCATTCATTCAGATATTTATTACAAACCTGGGGGAGGTGGGCTCCTGGGTGCTCAGTTGGTTAAGCATCCAACTCTTGATTTTGGCTCAGGTCATGATCTTACTATTCATCAGATCAAGCCCCACTTCAGGCTCCTCACTGACAATGTGGAGCCTGCTTGGGATTATCTCTCCTTCTCTCTCTCTCTCTGTCCCTCCCCTGCTCATGCTCTCTTTTTCTCTCTCTCTAAATAAATAAATAAACATTAAAAAAAAAAAAAAAAGAACCTGGGGAGTGCCAGGCACCATGCCGAGCAGGAGGGGTAAAGAATCTATGCTCTCATAGGTAACAGAGACAACTACAGTTACAGTCAAGTCTTGTTATTGTAGTAGTTGTGTTCTACAATGTTGCTGTAAACACTGAACCCGCAAATACTGAACCACTACTCTCAGGGGAAATACCAGGTGAGAGTCACAACATATTTGTCAACTAATCAATACATAATCTCGTTTCAGGTATGTATCTATTTAAAGACACTTTTTTAGTGGATATTATTAGTTCATTAACACTGAAATCAGAGCGAGCAGCAATTCATGTCTCAATGAAACTTTCCTAACACACGAGTTTTCTCTGCAGGGCACATCACAGCCTTGATGCACCTAAGATCATTAGGCACCACTTCAGCACTATACTTGGGGACAATTTTAGACCGTGAAATTACCAACAAAAGAACAAAAATGTGGCACAAAATAGACAATGAGATGGGACACTTGGGGGTTCCTGGGTGGCTCAGTCAGTTAAGCACTAACTCGATTTTGGCTCAGGTCATGATCTCACGGTTCAAGAGTTCAAGCTTGGGATTCTCTCTCTCCCTCTCTTTCAAAAAAAGAAAAAAAAAAAGGACTTGTTTACAGTATGAAAGTCCAAATAAGAAAACCGTGTTGCCACAGCAACTTCTTACTCAACATGTCTCTGGAGGTAAGGGAAACAAAAGCAAAAATGAACTACTGGGACCTCATCAAAATAAAAAACTTCTGCACAGTAAAGGAAACAATCAGCAAAACTAAAAAGCAACCAATGGAATAGGAGAAGATATTTGCAAGTGACATATCAGATAAAGGGTTAGTATACAAAATTTATAAAGAACTTATCAAACTGAACACCCAAAAAACAAATAATCCAGTGAAGAAATGGGCAAAAAACATGAACAGACACTTCCCCAAAGAAGACATCCAGATGGCCAACCGACACATGAAAAAATGCTCAACATCACTCACCACCAGGGAAATACAAATTAAAACCACAATGAGATACCACCTCAACACCTGTCAGAAAGACTAAAATGAACAATTCAGGCAACATCAGATGTTCATGAGAATGTGGAGAAAGAGGGTCTCTTTTGCACTGCTGGTGGGAATGCAAACTAATACAGCCACTCTGGAAAATAGTATGTAGGTTCCTCAAAAAATTAAAAAGTAGAACTACCTTAAGACTCAGCAATTGCACTACTAGGTACTTATCCAAGGGATACAGATGTGCTGTTTCGAAGGGGCACATGCACCCCAATATTTATAGCAGCACTATCAACAATAGCCAAAGTATGGAAAGTGCCCAAATGTCCATCAACAGATGTATGGATAAAAAAGATGTGGTATATATACATACAATGGAGTACTACTCAGCAATCAAAAAGAATGACGTCTTGCCATTTGCAACTATGTGGATGAAACCAGAGGGTATCATGCTAAGTGAAATTAATCAAAGAAAAATAAATATCATATGACTTCACTCACATGAAGAATTTAAGATACAAAACAGATGAACATAACAAAAAAAGTAAAAATAAGATAAAAACAGAGAGGAGAACTAAACATAAGAGACTCTTAAATATAGAGAACTGAAGGTTGCTGGAGGGATGGGGGGGGGATTGGCTAAATGGGTAAGGGGCATTAAAGAAGACACTTATTGGGATGAGCACTGAGTGTTAGACATAGGGGGATGAATCACTGGAATCTACTCCTGAAATCATTATTCATTATTACACTATATGCTAACTTGGATATAAATTTTAAAATAAGTAAGAAATAATAATTAAAATTTTAAAAAAATAAAAATAAAATAAAATGAAATGAAATAAAATAAAATAGAAAGCAGCGTCACCCTGTTTAACCTCAGTTGGGAACATGCACATCGGGCAACTCCAATTTTTTGCTACTCTGCTCATGTCAAGCAAATAACTATGAATATTGATTTTGAGGTCTCAAATAAATTGTAGAGAGTAAGTGAATTCACAAATACAGAATTTGCTAATAATGAGGACCAACTGTTTATGTAACAAACAAAAGCAAAATATTTAATCTTACTATCAACCAAAATATAGATTATGAAGACAGCATTTTAACCCCTTAAAAAATAATGAAATGATAAACTCCTCAAAAAACTAAAAACAGAATTACTACATGATCCAGCAATTCCACTTCCGGGAAAATACCCAAAAGAATTGAAAACAGGGTCTCCAAAAGGCATCTGCATACCCACATTTATAGCGGAATTTATCCACAATAGCAAAAAACATAGAAGCAACCTAAGTCCACTGATAGATGAATGTTAAGCAAAATGTGGTATTTACAATACAGATAATGTAGTACTCGGCCTTAAAAAGGAAGAAAATTCTAACACATGCTCCAACATGTGCAAACTTCAAAGACACTATGCTAAGTGAAATAAACCAGTCACAAAAAAGACAGATTACTGTATGACTCCACTTATATGAGGTACCTAGTCAAATTCACAGAGACAGAAAGGAGAATGGGGGCAGCCAGGGTGTGATGATAGGGAGAATGGGAAGTTATTATTTAATGGGTATAAAGTTTAAATTTTACAAAACAAAAAAGTTCTGTAAATAGATGGTGGTGCTGGCTGCACAGATATGAATGGACTTAATACCACTAAACTATACACTTAAACACAGTTCCGACAATAATCTTATGTTGTGTATCTTACCATAATTTTAAAAATTAGACAACAAATGTTAATAATGCCCGACATGGACAATTATCCTATCAAATTAATACTTCAATTGCAAAATGGTATAACCTTCAAAAAGACAATCTGCCAATTATTCACAAAAGCTTTTAAAACATTCACTAATTTCTCTACTTGAATGAGGCTAAGGAAATCATTCAAAACACAAAAGTTTAAAGTAATGAAGACTTCCATTACAATGCTACTTCCAATAGACAAAACCTGCAAACTGAAAGATTTAGAGATTCAGTAATAAGTGGATGAGGAAAAAGAAAATGTACGGCCTATTCACTTAACAGACATTAATTACTCAATATTCAATAACAGGTGGATAGATGAGTGTCTAAAGAAAATGTATCCACGTACAACAAAATTATTCAGTCTTAATGAAATTACAATACATTCCACAAATATGGATGAACCTTGAAAACATCATGGTATGGAATACTACATGGCAATGAGAAACAATGAAATCTGGCCATGTGTAGCAACATGGATGGACCTTGAGGGTGTTATGCTGAGCGAAATAAGTCAGGCAGAGAAGGACAAATATCATATGTTTGCACGTATAGGAGGATTAGGAGGAACTTGACGGAGGAACAAGGGGGAGAAGAAGGGCGGAAATGGTGGGGGAAAGGGAGAGAGGCAAACCATGAGAGACTCTTGAATGCTGACAAAAACTGAGGACTGATGGATGTGGGGGGGAGGGAGGAGGGGCATGGAGGAGGACACTTGTGGGGATGAGCACTGGGTGTTATGTGGAAACTAATTTGACAATAAACTATTTGTAAAAAAAAAAAAAAAAAAGAAAAAGGAAAAAAAAGAAAAAGAAAACATCATGGTAAGTGAAATGAACCAAACACAAATGGGCAAATATTATATGGTTACATTTATATGAGATACCCAGCATAGTGAAACTTATAAATTAAGAGCATTATAGGGGCAGGTGGGTGGCTCAGTCAGTTGGGCTCCTGACTCTTAATTTCAACTCAAGTCATGCTCTCGCGGGTCAGGAGATCAATCCCCATGTCCAGTTCTGCGCTGAGCAGGCGCCTGCTCGGGATTCTCCCTCCCTCCTTCCCTCTCTCTCTCTCCCTCCTTCCCCGCCCCTCTCCCGCTTGTTCTTTCTCAAAATAAATAAACGTATTAAAAAAAAAGAAGAAGAAGAGTATTAGAAGTCACCAGGGTCTGGGGCAGGGTGGAAAAAGGAGTCATTGAGTAGAGTTTTAGTATAGAATGAAGAAAAAGTTCCAGAGATGTATAGTGGTGACAGTTGCACAACAACGTGAATGCTGGGCTTAATGCCACTGAACTGTAATGTAGATTTGAAGATGGTTAGCTTACCACAATTTAAAAAAAAAAAACAAGTAATTTTAAACCTTTTAGTAATTAGAACACTATAATCATCCCATGGATTTGGTGACACTATTTTTCGAAAGGGAACACTAGTTGTAATTCATCTTTGAGGGATCACTGGTATCAAACTTGACCGTGAAAAACAAGCAGTAAAAACTATCCTTCAGATTTTCAGTTATTTTCGGAGTTGCCGCAAATGCCAAGTAATCCACACTCCAGCTTTCATCTTCAAGTCTATTGTCGTTTACACTACAATAATCTCTAAAGTTCCTAAATCCCCAAAACCATCCTCTTATCACAGAAAATTCTGCTGGCCAAAGCAGTGTAGACATTTACACGATCTTTATGAAACAAGCACTCCATTTCCTTAATAGCACGTAGAGAAGTCACTGGATATAAACGGATAGATGTTTCTTCTACAGCGAAAAAAGGTGAGTTTCCTATATGAACACAAGGAGAGAACAATCTCCCCAAGATGAGCAACAAGCTCACCACGGCACTTAACACACCACGTTGAACTGACTGCATCACAGAGAGCGAGGCAAAGATCCCTTGGCTGAACCACCGTGGTAATAGGACAACCACTCCCACGCTTGCGCAGTCTGACAAAGCCCTCCCGCAGACTAAGCCGAGGGGCTCCCACGCCCACACGACCCAAACTGCAGCAGGTGAAACCCGCGTGCTCCCAAGGCCCCCAGTGGCGGGAGCGCGCACGTGGCTATGACGCCAGCCCGCCCTCCCCCTCCGCGCAGGCGCAAAGTAGCGTGCCCCCCCCCACTGGGGGAGCGGCTGTGACCCCACAATATTGGGCCGAGCTGGGCGGAGCAGGCCAGCCGCCCACTTTCCTTGGGCTCCAGACCTCGTGTCCAGCGGGGTGCCTCAAAATCCGGAGTAGTCCCCTTTCTACGCGCCTTCCCTCCGCTCTAACAGCGGGTCGTGCACGCTCTCACTCCCCCTCCTTCTGGGCTCGGTCCCACCCAAAGGCTCCGCGCGCACCTTGACGCTCTGGTCACTGGAACAGGTAGCCATCCGTCGCCCATGGAAGTCGAAAGAGACATCATGGATGAGATCCTTATGGTCCGCCGCGATGCTGCGCGCCACAAACATGGCTTCCGCTGGGCTCGCGCCTCCTCCGTCTGCCCCGCCCACCTCCGAAGAGGGCGTCCGCGGCGGCGCGCGGACCGCAGCCCACCAGGACCCCGCTGCCGCCGGGGCGCGCACAGCGCGAGCTACCCGCGCGCCCCCGCGCCGAGCCCCACCCCTTTGCCCGTCATGCCCCGCGAGGCCTGGGCGGGGCGAGGGCGACTGCGCCTGCGTTTTTGAAGGAGCTGTATCGCGGCAAGGGCTTTGGAAGGAATCGTCATTCCTAGGCTGTAATGAAAATTAAAGGAATTTATTGTTGAAGTATAATTGGGAAAAGTAAGAAAGTTAGAAGAACCATCTACAGTCCTGGGTCCTGAGTCAATATTGGTCAGTGTCGTTCCCCGCTCCTGCCGTCCTCTGACATAGGTTGAGTGCTCGAAAGAAGTGGGGACGGGAGGGAACTCTGCCGGGACAGCTAAGGAGCAAAGAAGGGTGGAGATTTCACCTAAGGAGTCCAGGCTCAGCCGAAAAGTAAAGTCCGGAGGAATAGAGTTGAGAGGGAAAAACTGAGGGGTTATGGAGATGGGAGAGCTGGTGTGAGGGAGAGAAAAGGGAGGGTTCCGAAGTCAAAATATTTAAAGATTTCACAGGTAGAAAGAATAGGCTTGGTAGTGTCAAGAACCAAGATGTGGGCAGTGAGGTACTAGAAATTAGAAAGTTCTTCATAAAGAGGGGAGTCTGGGTGGCTCAGTGGATTAAGCATGATCTCAGGGTTGTGGGATCGATCCCCACAATTGGGCCATTGGGCTCCGGCTGGGCTTGGAGCATGCTTAGGAGTCTCTTCTTCTGCGTCTCCGTCTCTCTTTCTTTCTCTCTCTCTCAAAAAATAAAAGTTCTTCATGAAGAAACTTAAGTCATTTAGGAGAATGAATGGCAGGATCCGAAATGAACTGTGAAAGACTGGGGAGCCTGGAGCCAGAGTTCTCAATAAAGAAATACGTGAAACAAGCAAAATAAATAAATATATAAATAAACAACCCACCCACCCTGGAAAGAGGCCAGTGACGAAGACCTCTTAAATCAAAATAGGGCATTCCAATGAAACATTTCGTAGGATGAAATGGCATAAAGGGAAGAACCGATTACCATAAATTTACATGCAAGCTTTTTTTGAGGGTTCCCAGACCCAATAAATGACTTAGGCTTTTCTGGTACCTTAACACACATCTTGTTAATGGATACCCAAGTCAACATAAGGCACGGATGCTTACAGGCACAGTTCAAAGCTCTGGCTGCTTGATGCTCAGATGCTGTGTAGTTCCCAAGGAAGGAGCTTGCCAGTGCCACTGATGCTCACCATTAGTGCCGCTTCTAAAACAGCTAGCTGCAAAAATAAACACTGATATTTTTGCCCTTCACTTTTTTAAAGGTGAAAAACCCCATTAGATTTCTTTTTTCTGTTAGCAAAAACAGGTACTAAGGTAGGTCTTGCATAAAAGCAAAGTGGTAAAACATGAACTTTCAAAAAGAGGATACCTGTATTCAGTTCAGCGATTTAGAGTATTTTGTTTACCAGACATTCCAGAGGGCTTAGTGGTAAAGTTAGTATGGGAAACAGCGGAATATTAGGTTGGGGGAATGAAAATAGAAAAAAAAAAGTTTTTAAATGAGACTGCAGAAAGGGTTTATATTTTGGATTATGGCCAGAAATGACAAGAATGTGGGGCATGGTGAGATTAGAAGGCTAGAAAGTTTTCCAAATAATTAATCCCAGCTGTCCCCTGATGGATTGCACAGAAATGTGCACAAGCAGGTGGAGAAATGACTTAGCCTCTCTGGATTTTTCTTTACTTGCCTTTTTTCCCCCACTACAAATTGAGATGTTTTTCGTACTTTAACAGTTTCCATATCTGTGAGTTTCAGGTATGATTACTAATAACAAATGTATCTGCTCTAAGGTCAAAGACACTCATTTAAAAAAAAATTACCTACTATCTGTAAAAGTCCAATCAATTTATAAAAGCTCTAAAACTTTTTTCTTAAGTTTTATGTATTTAAGTAATCTCTGCACCCAACATGGGGCTCAAACTCACAGCCCCGAGATCAAGAGTTATATGCTTCTCCGACTAAGCCAGCCAGTTGCCGCCAAAAGCTCTAAAACCTTCGAAGAGTGTTTTTTTAAGCTAAAAAACATTTCAAACAGGGGTGGCTGGGTGGCTCATTCAGTTAAGTATCTGACTTCGGCTCAGGTCATGATCTCACAATCATGTGAGTTCAAGCTCCACATTGAGCTTTCTGCTGCCAGCACAGAGCCTCACTTCGGATCCTCTACCTCTCTCTTTCCCCTCTCCCACTTGTGCATGCACACATGCACTCTCTCAAAAAAAAACATTAAAAAATAAAAATAAATAAGTTAAAAATAAATTTAAAAAACATTTTAAACAGATCAATATTTGCCAGAGATTATCTAGGTGGAGGGATGAATAAGTGAAGAACAGGAGATTTTTTTTTCAAGACTTTATTAGACCAGTTTTAGGTTCACGGTAAAATTGAACAGAAAATACATAGACATGCCTCATATACATGCCTCTTCTACCCCACACACAGCCTCCCCCACTATCGATTGCTAGCAACACAGCGGTACAATTGTTGGATTTGATGAGCCTATGTTGACTCACCACCATCACTATCAACCAAAGTCCATAGTTTACCTTGGGGTTCATTCTGGGCATTATACATTCTGTGGATTTTGACAAATGCATAATGACTTATACCCACCACTGTAGTATCATACAGAAGAGTTTCACTGTCTTACACATTCTCTGTGATCTGCATATTCATCCCACCCTCTCCCCAATCCCTGACAGCTACTGATCTTTCGACAGTTATCAAATTTTTGCCTTTTCCAGAATGTCATAAAGTTGAAATCATTAAGTACACAGCCTTTTTAGATAAGCTTTTTTCACCTAGTAATATGTATTTAAGATTCTTCCATGTCTTTCCAGGGCTTGATACCTCTTTTTTTTTCCAGCACTGAATAATATTTTTTAACTGATTTATAGCTGACTTTTGGAAGTTATAGTTGAAGTGCTGAATAATATTCCATTGTCTGGATGTGCCACAGTTTATCAATCCATTCACCTATTGAAGGACATCTTGGTTGCTTCCAAGATTTGGCAATAAAGCTACTATAAATATCCATATGCAGGTTTTGTGTGGACATGTGTTTTCAACTCTGGGTATACACCAAGGACTGTGATTTAGGTATCATATGGTAAGAATATGTTTAGTTTTGTAAGAAACCACCAAACTGTCTTCCAAACTGTAAGAAACCATCAACTGGCTTCCAAAGTGGCTTCCAAACCACCAAGCTATTTTGCATTCCCACAAGCAATGAATGAGAGTTCCTATTGCTCCACATCATCACCCGTATTTGGTGTTGTGTTTTGGATTTTCATCATTTTAATAGGTGTGTAATGGTATCTCATTATTCTTTTCATTTCCATTTCCCTGATGACATATGACATGAAACATTTTCTCTTATGCTTATTTGATATCCTCTTTGATGAGGTGTCTTCTCAAGTCTTTTGCTCTCTTTTTTTTTTTTATCAGATTTTTGTCTTATTTCTGAGTTTTAAGAGTTCTTTGTATATTTTGGATAACAATCCATTATCAGATGTGTCTTCTGGGGCGCCTGGCTGGCTTAGTCGGTTAAGCGTCCGACTTTCGCTCAGGTCATGATCTCACAGTTCGTGGGTTCGAGCCCCGCGTCGGGCTCTGTGCTCACTAACAGCTCAGAGCCTGGAGCCTGTTTCAGAGTCTGTATCTCCCTCTCTCTGACCCTCCCCTGTTCACGCTGTCTCTCTCTATCCTAGAAATAAATAAAAATATTTTTAAAAAAAAGATGTGTCTTCTGAAAATATTTTCTCCCATTTTGTGACTTATCTTCTCATTCTCTTGGCCATTTCTTAAAATTACATAATCATCATAAGACTATTTACTGTAAGAAGTGTTTGAAAATACACGTATATATATAATAAAAAGTTAAAGTTTCCTTTCACCCCATAGTCTAATCTCCCTGCCCAGAGAATATGATTCTTACTGTGTTACCCATTTTCTATGGATTTACAGAACATAAAACATATATGTGTACTGAGTATCAGAAAGTTTGTTTGGGTTTTTGAAAATAAATTTACAAATACTATACCAGTTTTTGCTCTTTAAAAAATATCCAATATGTCTTGGAGATCTTTCTACATGGGCCAAGTCCATTCCTTCAGTCTCATAACCTATGCATTCCAAAATATGGATGAATTGTGGTTTATTTAACCATTCCCCTGCTAATGTACCAACATGTGAAGATCACCATAGACAAGCTTTATTTCTTCATTCATATAAGTTTAATTATATGTGCTGCACTATAGATCTAAGGATTTTCTTCATATAATTGTATATGTTTCTTATTAGGTTTATTAAATCTTTAAACAATTTCTTACACTGTTGTGGATGGGCTCTTTTTTGGGGGGTGCAGACTTTTTTTCTATATTGTTCATAAGAGAGCTATTAAATTTTGTATGTTTATTTTGCATTTGTTCCCTTATTAGATTCTTGCTCATTTACCTTCTACTTTGAATCTCTTGGGTATATAGGTTAAAAAAAAAAAAAAAAAAAAAAAAAAAAAAACCACCAGGGGCTCCTGGGTGGCTCAGTCGGTTGAGCGGCCGGCTTCAGCTCAGGTCATGATCTCACGGTTCATGGTTTAGAGCCCCGCATCGGGCTCTGTGCTGACAGCTCAGAGCCTGCAGCCTGTTTCAGATTCTGTGTTTCCCTCTCTCTTTGACCCTCCCCTGCTCACACTGTCTCTCTCTCTTAGCTACCTTGTATCAATAAGTATCCAATCATAAAAACAGTATCCATTCAAGTTATTTGAAACAGGGAATTCAACACAGGAAATTGGTTATAAATATACTGGAAGCATAAAGTAAGAGCAAAAAGGAAAAATGTGTGGTTACCCAGAGATTAATAACTGCAGGAAACTGTTCCCACCCATAGGGCAGGAAGAGAGAAGGAGAAAATAGAGCCTGACATCACTGCCCCTCAGGCGACTGATGTTGGAACATCACCAACAGGCAGGAAGCCTGGAGC